TGTTAGCACGGTTCTGTTGTGTCTGGCGCGGTCCGATTCAGGTCTGCGTGCCATTTCAGTCACAGTTACCTCGGTTACTGAGCTCGGATCTCAGCACGGTTTTAAAAGGCTAGTTAGTGGAAATGGGGTTATTGTCTGATACTTTGTTTGGCAAGGTAATAAAAAGTTACATTTTTATCCATCCTTCATGTGTTTTAATGACTATTTAACCATCTAAAGCATTTATTTAGATAGATTTGAATTAATATAAAATCCAAACAAGCTGAACAGAGAATATCCAGAACAAACAATTGCATTAAATCTGTGTCCTGTTACCAGAACCCTGCTGCTTCTATTCTATCAGTGAGCTGCAGCAGTAATCAAACAAATGTTTCCTTCTCTCAGTGCAGACGAACTGGAAATAATAAACATAGAGATGTTTAAAAATACGATAGATTTTAAGTTGAATGTGCAGATTAACAAAATCCTCCTATAGTAGGGTTTGCACAGGTTATTTATTGTCCTGATTTTAAAACCCAAAAGGCATGGCTTAATCACGCAGCTTTAACCTGTTCCTCCTTCATTACTCATTTTTCCTGAGGCTGAGGTCACAGGTTTGGCCGTCTGGACGGCTGTAACCTTTTGGAGGCCATAAGCCCAGAAAAAAACTTCTAGAGGCTAAACTATGGAGTGAATTTTGTTCTATTAATTTTATTCCAAAACAAAATTGGAAAAGAAAAGTCCAAAAAATAAAATATGAGAAAACATCAGTTACAATTAAAATATTTTTATGATTAGGAGTTTTTTTTCGAGGTTTAATTTCCTTCTTGCATTTTGTTTTTTCATTTCTGAAACAATTTCTTTACTTCCCACAATATTGGAAAATTAACTCCATATTTAAAATTCGTGGAAAGTCCAGTTTTACTGGATTCTTTCACTTCAGGAGGATTTACAGCTTGGATTCCTTTTACCCAGAAACACATATTTTTTTTAACGTCTCTTAGTCTCTGAGCACGACCCTTAACCCCACGCTGCTCCCCAGGAGCCCAACAATGGCGGCCCACTGCTCCCCGAGGGGATGGGTTAAATGCAGAGGTACATTTCTCCAATGTAAAATCAATAAAGTTCTATTATTA